CCCCACCTGTCTGTTTCTGAATCGAGATTAGACATTCATATGGATCCATAGCCCCAACACTGGGGACCTTTAGGCCATCAATAGGCAACAGGCATCGACTCTGTAACGTAAGGAGAGAACGGAGTTTGCCCGTTGTCATTCAGAAGGGACTTTTCTCTCCTTCTCAGCCTTGTTGTGACAGTTGTGCTTTCATCTGCAGCTCCTGCAGCAGGCCACCTCCTCCAGCAACCTGGGTGCATTCAGTGGCATTCAGCAAATGGCAGGTAAGTCGGAGCACGCGTGTTGTATGGTTGTGTGGCTCTGTTGTGTGGCATGCCCAAGAGGGCCAAGAAGCAGGGGTAATTATCAACCTATTAGCTTTCTAACTGAAGTGTTAAAATTAGAACCAGCTGCTCTGGAAGTCCTGCTCCTTCCACTTGGAAGTCCTATCCATCCTTCGCCTGGCATGGCATTTCAGAAAGGAGGGCCGCTTCGGGTCCTGGGTAGTATCTTTAAAATGGGATTGATGACTGGGGGATTTCCAACCAGATTCCTGTACCCGGGGCCAAAATGATTGACGTCCCTCTACCGTTTTAATAATAGGCAGTCAATAAAAATGTTCTGACCTCCATAATGAAAGCCGAGATTGCAGGACTATCTTTGATAACAGCTTTGCAGTCCCTGGATAATATCCACAGACAATCAATGCCTGCTGTTAGGGGGGAGTGGTTTTGGTAACGTCCAAACCCCAGTCGACAAAATTTTACATCTCTCACTTTTATGTGGGAGCATAATCTTTGTTCTTGGGAAAATCAAAGTGTGCCTGTATTTGAAAGTCAGCTCATTGAAGGTTTTCTTTTTATAATGAGCGGTGCCAGGAGTTACCGAGGTGCGGTGATTAGTGAAAGGTCAACCCTACTGTGTCACCTCCCATGCTGATATCCTATCTTAACATGGTGCCAGGGAAGGCAGCGAGTGCGATAAATCAGCACACAGGTGCCTATTAACCTGCCAGGAGGAACAGTTAGAAAGCTTTCTCCTTGTTTGATTCCCCAAAAAAGGTGGGGGGGAGAGGGCAAGGAGAACAGGTTGTTGGCATCATCCAATCCAACACAGTTTGTTTTCATCAAGGGCATCTGAATCAATGCAACGAAACCTGAATGTGCAGAAACAAAGCCAGCCTTGTTCATCCCTGGGAACACCCCACCCCCGGCTTCCTAATTCCTTTCCTTTCTTTTGCCCCCGTGCCTATCCTCGGGTTTTCTTTTTCCTTGTTTCTGTTGGAACGGATTTCGAAAGGCTTTCCATGAGTACACATAGGGGTCCCCTTGAGGGGTCCCGTGACCCTCTGTCCCTCTCTCCATTATGGCTGCACCGGCTACTGGGAGCATGTCTCATAGCGTATATCGGCCTACAAGTAATAATACTGCTGAATTATTTTACGGGTTTGAAACCTGCTGGCATTGCCTGCTTGTTGTGTGCCTATAGAGCTTTCGGATTATTAGAAGAAGAAAAAATGTGTCTGTATATTTCTTACCACGATAACTGGCAGCCCTCAGTACCTGTACAAATGCAGATATTTGGGAAAGCCGGCCTTGGAGCTCAGAAAGGTGTGGAAGGGTTAGTGTCCTTTTCATTCTGATTAGGGAGCTGAAGAGCGAGAAGTAGGCAGGGAACAGGCCTCCAGATTGTGTAGGCCAACCAGAGTGCTAAGATTGGTCACAGAACCGACTGATTGGAAGAGGAGTTTTTCCTCTAAGAACATAGACTAGCCCAGATCCAAAATTAGGGGCTTTCCTTCAAGAAAGCTGCTCAGTCCTGAGGCACTGCCAAGCATGTCCTCCTGAGCGGCCCGGCCCGAGCGCCCTGTCATTTTGCATTAGATTGCATGCTGCCATCCTTCGCCAACTGCAGGCCAGGACGCTCCGATTCACATGCTCTGCTCGCTCATTTAAACAGCGAAGGTATCAGCGTGCCCCTTACAAGGCCCCATGGAGCAGATGGCTACTTTAAAGGCATTCTATAAACACTCCAAGCTTTCCAACAGATCCCTTTCTGAGACCCTTCACCCTCTGAGATCCAGCATGCTTCAGCCTGCACAGGCTGTAAAATCAAATGCAGAAAAGTCAATTATGTGCCATCATCCTGAACCCTGTAGAATGTGAAGGTGGAGATGCCAAGGCTCTCTCTGCTTGGCAATGTCTGCCAAGGGTGCCCTTCCTTCAGAGGACTCAGTAGATCTCAGCTTCCCAAATACCTGAAGCATATGGTTTGGGGGATTTGTTTTCTACCGGGGAAGAATGGTATCTCCTCCGACTCTTTTTGTCTTCTCTCAAAAGCCTAGCTCACCGTCCTCAGCCTAAGTCAGTGAGTGGACTGTGCTCCCGCAAGCCCTTCACTTCTCCCACTTCTCTGAAACCTGTCACCGCTCCCTGACGCAGGGGCCCATTCTGACCACTATGGCCCTTCACCTGATGTGCCCAGTGCTTGCCGGAGCGCCTGCTGCAAAGAGATACCCACGGCCAAGTTTGAGTGCACACGTGAAAAATAAACATATAAATCAGCAGACCTAAATGTGTATTTTGGAAAAAATTTTAGTGGAACTGAAGTTAAAGGCTCCGCATTTCAATGAAGAAACATGTAACCTTGCACCTACATGCACAAAAGCCATCTCAACCGAATGCCATTCTCCTCGTGACTGGGTCACTGAGGACTAGGAGGTGGAGAGGCTGGTTTCATATGCAGTGTGTGGCAGAGCAGAGGCCATCTAGCTCTGTACAGAGGGAGTACTGTATTAGGGTTCAAGGGACCAAAGAGGTCGTTGACCCCAAACTCCCTACGTTATTGAGTGACCCATCTTGTGATGGAGTAAAAGTAGGCGGATACACAGTTCAAAGGCAGATTCTTTGCATGACAGGAGCATGTACTAAACTCCAGGTGTGACATTCCACCAGTCCATGGAACACTAGCTCCAAAGAGAGTGAAATATCATTTCGGAAACCAATAATATTTGTTGTGAGCAGCTCTTGAGAGGTAAATGGTCTGCCTTCAAGAAATGGAGGTTTATAACCACAGTCTAAGGTGTCTCATTTATACAAGGTAAAACGTTTTTGGTTTGAGGAGAAAATAAAGCCCCAAACAGAAACAACCAAAGAAATTTGAAATAACAAGGTACTAAGTTGTTGCATCCATAAAATTGAAGGTGACATCTCTTTTACACAAGAAATCTTACGCTTTCTTTCAAACTAAAATTTACTTCAAGCATATCTTAAGATTTTCTAAAAAGAGGAACCTTTCAAAGTATGCGATTGAAGAACAGAAAATGGATTGGCATCAGATTTTTATAATGGGGATGCTCTTATGCATGCTTTTAGTGCATCCTTGAAATTGATTGATTTTATTTCCCTTTTCAAAGCATCCACAAAATGTGTATCCATTTCTTGTTCGTGTGTGGATGGGTTCAATGAATTTCTACAATCTCAGGAACTTGCGTTTGGGCGAAGAGTCTGTATTTTTCTTGAAGGATAAGGAAGCAGAGAAGAGTAACTGTGGGGCCCTTAATTTATTATTATTATTATTGAACAACTGTCCAGTCAAAAGAGGATCTTGTTAGAAAATCAAGGACAGTGTACTTCAGGTTCGTTTTTTAACAAAGCTCCTTGAAGTAAGCATGACACTTACCAGCACAGTAGAACCAAAGAGGAAACCCTGCTGAGATGTTTACCGTTGAGCCCACAGAACATATGATCTAACAGGCGTTGGAATAAGAACCTCCAAGTGTCCCATGTCTTTTATGAAACCGAGACTATTGGTGCTCCACTTTACAGGTGAGACAGTGAAGCCGAGACGAGCTAAAGCCACCGGGGCTAGTTGGTGGCAGATTAAATTCAAGTCAGCCGGATGCAAAATCGAGCTCCCGCTCATCATCCAACCTAACCACTGGGCCCTGTCTCGCAAAAGCTCCCGGTCATCATCCAACCTAACCACTGGGCCCTGTCTCGCAAGAAATTCAGAGCCGTTTGCGAAAACCCAAGCTGCGAATGCCAAACGAGTCACAACCTTGGAGTTGTGGTTCGGAGAGGGCCCCACAAAAGTCACAGAGAACTGCCTCCTTTCATTTGGGAGAATGCCCGGTGGCATAGCAAGTGACACGTAGGCCTGCCCCTGCGAGGACGGCCGTTGGAAACCCCCTGCGGGAGAAAGACGAGGCTTTCTACTCCCATCCGGAGTCACAGTCTCAGACGCCCAGCGGAGCAGTCCCACCCCGCCCTGTCGGATTTCTCTGAGTCAGAATCAAGTCGGTGAGAGTGAGAGGTTTTTTGGTTTTTGTTGTAAGAGCAGGTTGTATTTGGGGAGAGCAACTGTTTCTCTCTAGGGTGAGGAATTATTATTAAAGAATAGATCTGATGATGTCATGGCTGAAGCGACGTTTCTGTGCATGAAGACTTGGCTTCAGTGCTGACCTTCAGTGCTGGGGGTGGTAATTCCTTTTCCAGAACATTGGCAAGGGAGCAGGGGAATGGTAGAGTGCCACTATTGCTTCAAGCCACAGCCGAGCTCTCTCTCCGCCGTGCGAAGACCGTCTTAGGGTGGCTGTCACAAGACCTCTGCAAACACTGTGTAGGACGGAGGTCTGAACACGCTCCAAGGGGCTCAGTGCGCTGCTTCTCAGACTCGCAAAGATCGCAGGTCTACGCAGACTGTGGTCAACAGTGCTGCATCCACACACTTCCTGCGAATGTGCTAATAGGCCTTATGAGAACGCTCCATAGCCACCCATCTGTCACTTTTTAACAGACCTGATTGGCAAGCACTTGTAACAAGTGACATCTGTTCTTGCTTATTGAGATGCAGATTTATGGTAATTGCTGGGAACAATAAGATACAAAATTACCTAAGGTGAACATTAAATTAAATTTTCATGCCCTTCTCCTTATAAATATTTTTTTTTAATCTTAAGTTTCAAGTAGGCATATTGCACATGTGTTAGACAGAATTGCATAGTTTGGAGAAGGGGCTCCCACCCCCAACTAAGGAACGAACCGTGGAATCCCTGGATTCCCAACTTTTCTTAATTTTGATTTTTTGGCCTCCTTGATATTGACACATACTTAGAGGTCCTAAAAAACAAAACAAAACCCATTTGCTTGTGTTTCTTGTTTAGTCACCCATTTTATCGCACCCACTGTGAGGGGTGCCCGCTGGAGCAGGGTGCCTTATGAAGTTATGTGTAGTGGTTTTCCCCTCAGAAAGGTGAGCCAGCCTCTCACCGGGGAGGGTGGAG